GGAAAACAACGGAAAAACACTAAATACCGGAAAACATTCTAAAGACCGGAAAACACCCTAAATAGGTAACCCGGAGCCTGGTCCTCTGTGTGCGGTTTTGGACCAAGTGAGCGCCGATGAAGGAAGGTCAAGGTCATTACGATGTTCATTTTACAAATAGCCCCCCCACCCCAAAAAAATTCCGATTTTTTTTTTTCTCCAAAATTTATTTTTCGAAAACAAATTTCTGTCACAAAAAAAAAATTTGAATTTTTCCAAAAAATTGGTTTTACAAAAAAACATTCCGTATAAAATAATTTTACAGAGAAAAATACTGGAAAAAAAATTTGAATTTTTTTTGAGAGAAATTTAGGAAAAGAAATTGTTAAAAAAAATCTGAAAAGAAATTTTTCTTTGACCGTAGGCGATCGCTCGCTTGTATGTTAATAAACGTATTTCATCAGCGCTCACCAGGTCCAAAACCACAAAAGAGGACCAACCTTCGGGTTACTAAATAGCTACCGGAAAACTTAGAAGAGTAAACTGTGCCTGAGATTTTTTTAGAGAGCGCGCCGCACCGCGCCGCTGCGGGAGGGATCATCGTCAGGTTGGGACGGGGGTGAAATTGTCCAGTCACGTGACGAACATAAATCTTCCGTTCCTCAACCCATATTTTTTCCACAGTCATTGTCATTAATCACAAATTATGGGATGATATACGAAAATGCAGGTTTACTTTGAAATAGTGCAAATGATACTTCAATCTACAATCTTCAGATCAAAGGATGCAAGTTCTTACACAGTGCAGCATAATTTGTGCAAAAGAAGACATCTCGAATATCGATTGTCGGAAAAAACATTTTCTCGGGGCCATTTTTTTCCGAATAGGCATTCGGTGTAAGTCTTCAGCCACCAGGAAGTGGTTAACATAGTAACGTTTTATTACGATAGTACTACATAAAACAAATTGGTTGCCTGAGGTTCTCGGGGGGAAAGTAGCCTCATCGGCTAGAGTCCTCTATTTCACAAACAAAAACAACAATTGCTTCCTTGAAAATTTATCGATCAACCCTTTTCACAGACGTCCAGCTTACCACTTCCCGTCAATGCAGTAAGATAGATTATGTAGTTTTCTCATGGACAATTGGGCGAAAGTTAGGGTTTTCTCAAGGAAAACTGGTCAACAAGTTGGGGAAAAAAGCTCGAAGAGTAATCCAGAAAAAAATTCTGTGTGCGGCCCTCGGAATATGATGGAATATGTTGAATATTATTATGGTTCAAGTGATTATATTTGACCCTGGAATGAAAGTAAGCTCAGAAACAAGTAGATTTTTAGCCCTTCCAACGAGATGGATAGCTCTTGGAAAGGATAAACACTTTTCAGATTACAGCCTGTCCGAGAATCATTCAAAACATAATAGGCATCAACAAAATTTTGGAAAAAAAAATTCGGAATTTTCTTTTTTTTTGGGGGGGGGGGGGCTATTTGTAAAACGAACATCGTAATGACCTTGACCTTCCTTCATCGGTCCAAAACCGCACACAGAGGACCAGGCTCCGGGTTACCTATTTAGGGTGTTTTCCGGTCTTTAGGATGTTTTCCGGTATTTAGTGTTTTTCCGGTGTTTTCCGGTATTCAGTATAAAATGGTGTTTTCCGGTTGTTTTCCGGTTGTTTTCCTGTGTTTTCCAGTATATAGTATGGCCCAACAAAGGCCATGCAAAAGGTAAGAAAAGACAGAGAAAGAGAGAATTGCTATGAATAGATGAACCACAAATCTTGGGTCACAAGATAGTGAAATTTAATGGTGGTCTGCCTCCATATAACAGAAATTACATAGGCGTGTTTGTATCACTTAATTATACCATGCATATCAATTTTAAGCAGATGGAATGTTAACTTTCATCGCCACAGCATTAACAAAACATTACAAAGTGAGCGAGGGCAATAACTCTACAAATAATTAATGCTAGGCTTATTAACTAATCAGAATAAGGATTCTTAGATTATTGTATGGTTTCCCCTTGCCAGTGGAACAGCATGCATGCAAGTAAAAGAACCTATTACAGTTGGAATTCGAAATAAGAGTAGGCTGGAGCACCACTGTCTAGGTAAAATGTCCTTCATAGCACACTGCATGGCATATGCCTGTCTGCATAAACCCACTAGGTCCAGAAAAGTAGGACGTTAATCTACATTTAAGATCAATAATATTTTAACCCAAGTTTTGACCTTTATTAACAGTGCTCTTATTATTGAGATGTGGTTATTCTATTTCTTTAAAATTTTCAAAATTCTAAAATTTTAGAAATAATTGTATAATCGACGAATTAAAATTCTGAAGCTAATGTACAGTCTATTCAAATCATAACTTTATGCTAGGCCTATAACTTATAGTATATGTATAAGAGTATAAAAGTTAACATCTGTACTGTCAATTCTCATGGGAAACATATCAAAGATATCATGTATATTATAAAGATAAAAAAAAAAGTTCATCCAAAGAAAACAGACATTTCGTGGCTGAAACATTCTTGAATAAACATTTCATTACTTATATGTTTGAATTTTAATCAGTGAAGATGAGTGGCATTAATTCTGTTCTTTGAAATAAACATCCCGGATATCTTTTAAGTGTATTATTTGAAGCTCTGTGATAATTGTTCGAAAGAAAACAAACAATCAATCTTCATTTAATTGGGGAAAAGTTTTCAAATTGACAGCTAAAATAGTGTCTAGATAACCATGTCTACAGTGTGATATTGTCACATACATCATGATTATTGGCTATTAAATTTGTTCACTAAATTGTACACTTGTATGTATTGGTTTCATAATACATTTGTTGTACATCCTATTCAAGTTTTAAAGTCAGATATCACAGACCATTGCCAAATTAACCAATATTTTTTCAATTCAATCGTTTCTGTTTAACAGATGGTAATTTATTACTCATACTTCCGATCGTATGTACATATAAATACACATACACATGCACATCCTTTTGACATTTCAAATCTTTAAGTATACAACTAATCTTTCCTTGTGTTTGAATTAAGGCCGTTCAAAAAATAAACATGTGAAATAGACTGCATGTGTCTTTAACATACCATTTGAGACCACATTTGCATTTCAAATCAAGTTTAATGCAACAGTAACATAAATCAGATGCACGCATGCACATGTGTATCAGACAACCATACCATACTTCGAATTCAACTATGCATCTAAAAATAAACTTGTTCTAAGTGTCATAAATTCCTTTCTTTTTAGTCTTAAAATATTGTCTGAATCAGTCAAATTTACTAACATAGAACAAATTGCATTTTAATACTATTTATAGACATAACAGAATCACAAATTTCATTTCTTTAAAAAACCAAGGCAAAAAAGAGTATTACTTAAAAACTATTGAGTTTTAGACCTTGATCAAGTACTGGTTACTAATTGTTTTAAGTATTTGAGTTTGAATTTCTATCTTCTTATATAAAAATAAGAATAGAGAGAGAGAGAGAGAAATAGGGTTTAATGTCCACTCGACACAAATTAGGTCATTTCGGGACTAACATATGGTTTAATTTTATTTCAATAATTCGCTTGCGCATAGGGGTCTTTAGCAGTGGGAGGAAACCGGAGGACCCGGAGAAAACCCACGAGGTTGGACAAAATAAGAATAGTCAACCTATATATATTGTTCACATCACCTCATAATGAATAATAATTTTAACTCTTAATTCTTCTTTAAAAGATAGGTTGCCACGCAATGAAACATACGCCCACAGCAGCTAAATCGTCTGGGCAGTCAACAGGAGTTATCACATATTTTTATTTTTTTCGGTAATGAAACATTTATAATACACTAAAATCTGATAAAGAGTAACAACTCATTAAGTAATTATCAAAGTTTTAGAAGTGATCAAGGGCAATAACTCTGGCAATAATTATCGGAAATTGCTGAAAATCAATAGGCTTCTTCGTCTCATGACCTTAAACACTGTGTATAAATTTAAAGTCAATCGGATATTAACTTTAGCCTGTAGAGTGTCCACAAGAGTTTTTCAAGTGATCAAGGGCAATAACTCTGGCAGTAATTATCGGAAATCGCTGAAAATCAATAGGCTTCTTCGTCTCATGACCTTAAACACTGTGTATAAATTTAAAGTCAATCGGATATTAATTTTAGCCTTTAGATCGTCCAAAAGAGTTTTTGAAGTCATCAAGGGCCATAACTCTGGTAGTAATTATCAGAAAATCAGTAGGCTTCTTCGTCTCATGACCTTAAACACTGAGTATAAATTTAAAGTCAATCGAATTTTAACTTTAGCCTCTAGAGCTTCCACAAGCAATTGTGGATGCCGGAGCGCCGGACGGACCGACGACAATATACAACCACATTTCAATATGGGCGTATAAAAAGAAAATTGTATTAGCTTTCCAGTAAACTGGGCATGAAACATGACATTATGTGCATTAGGCCTACTTTAAATTTTTGCATGCTCAGAATTTTAACTTTAGCCTCTAGAGCTTCCACAAGCAATTGTGGATGCCGGAGCGCCGGACGGACCGACGACAATATACAACCACATTTCAATATGGGCGTATAAAAAGAAAATTGTATTAGCTTTCCAGTAAACTGGGCATGAAACATGACATTATGTGCATTAGGCCTACTTTAAATTTTTGCATGCTCAGAATTATTAATTTATACCTGGATGACAACAATAGGCCTAAATAAATAAATGACAAGCTTTCATATATGCAGTAATGGTAAATACTTCTTTTTTCATGCACAATTTCTGAAACAATGATAGTATGCCAGGCAACGAATCATATGCCCATAGCAGCTAAATCATCCGAGCAGTCAACAAGGGTTGTCACATATTTATGCTTTTGTAGGTAATAGGAGCGTTTACAAGACACTGATATCAATTTCATACACAGATCGAATGTTCACATGGTTCAACAAAGGAAGACAAGGGTCATAACTGTAGAAGTTATTAACAGAAATCACTTAAATTCAATAGCCTTCTTCATTTTACTAATCTCAATAATACATTTAATTTAAGACAGATCGGATGATAACATTTTCCATTAGAGCATTCGCAAGGGGTTTAACAAAGTGAAACAATGGACATAACTCTAATTGTAATTAACAGAAATTGCTGAAATTCAATAAACTTCTTCGTTTTACTAATCTAAATAATGCATATTAATTTCATAGAGATCGGATGATTAGTTTAATCGTTAGAGCGTTAACATGGTTCAATAAAGTGAAACAAGGGCCATAACTCTAGCAGTAATTAATAGAAATTGTTGAAAGGCTTATTTGTTTTACTGATCTAAATAATACATATAAATTTCATGCAAATCAGATAATAACTATTGTCGATAGAGCATTCACAAGTGCCATAACTCTAGAAGTTATTAACAGAAATTGCTGAAATTCAATAGGATTCTTCATTTTACTAATTTAAATAACACATGTAAATTTAATATAGATCAGACGATAATTTAATTGAGAGCATTCACGAGGTTCAACAAAGTGAAACAAAGGCCATAACTCTAAGAGTTATAAACAGAAATTGTTGAAATTCAATAGGCTTCGTCGTTTTACTAATTCAAATAATACAAATTAAATACAGATTGGATGTTCACAATGTTCAACAAAGAGAAAACAAGGGTCATAACTCTAGAACTTTTAAACGGAAATAGCTGAAATTCAGTAGGCTACTTCGTTTTACTAATTCAAATAACAGATGTAAATTTAATATGATAACTTTAGTCGTTAGAGTGTTTACAAGGTTCAACAAAGTAATAAAAAAAGGACCATAACTCTAGAAGTAACAAGTCAACAGTGAAGATGATGTTCCCCGCCGAAATCCCGAAATAAATAGATGACACATATTAATCAATTGCACATTTATTTTTTTCAAAAGTATCAACCAATCAAACTGATTATCAACTATTCACTAATTTTAAGTTTCTTCACTCTCTTTCAGATAGAATCAAAGTTATCTTGTCCCAAAGCATCAACCAATGAAATTGCTTAGCTCTGCTTAGCTTTAGCTTGAAATTTTAATCACTGAACTCAGTCAAGACATTCACCTAATGAACATTTACATCAAGTTTAAACATTCTACCTCAATTAAAAGCAGGGTTGTTATGTTAAAAGGTCCTCACCTTTTCAAATTGCTTATCGCTCCTTAGCATAAGCAGCAAATTCTCATCATCGAACTTAGTCAAGGTAATGATATGATGAATCTATACTCAGAGTTTCATCACTCTCACTTAATTATAATCAAAGTTATCGTGCCCCAAAGCATCAACCAATCAGATTGCTTATCTCTGCTTACCGTAAGCAGACAATGTTTATCACCGAACTCCATCAAGGCATTCACCTAATGAACGCCTACACCAAGATTGAACATTCTACCTCATTTAGGAGAGTTATTGTGTTCAAATCAAATTGCTTAATGCTCTGCTTACCCTGAGCAGATAATGCGCATTATCAAACTTAGTCAAGGTAGTGATGTGGTAAAACTATACACAAAGTTTTCTCACTCTCACTTAATTTGAACGAAGGTTATTGCATCCCAAAGCTTCAACCAATCAAATTGCTTATCTCTGCTTACCCTAAGCAGAAAATGCTCATCTTCGTACTACATGAAGGCTATGACCTAATAAACACCTACACCAAGTTTGAACATTCTAGCTCAATTAGAAGGAGAGTTATTGTGTCCCAAAAAGTGTGACGGACAGACAGGCGGTCAGACTGACAAACCCATTTTAATAGTCCCTTGCTTTCTTCGAAAGGCGTGGGATAATTAACATAAATTGTTGAAATTAAAGTCAATCAGATGTTAATTCTGGTCTCTTGAGCAATTTTAGACGTGAGATGGACGGATGGACAGAGGTGACAACAATATTCACCAACAAGGTTTCAATGTGGGAGTATGTGTATCATACAGTAATTGTCAATTTTTAAAAAAATTATTTTAATGGTTGCTTACAGTTCAGTATTCTGATTTAGGCCATATTTTCCATTAAATGTCCAACTGGCATTTAAAAAGTCCACATAAAAAATGTACATCAAAAAAAGCAAAATGTACAATTGAATTCCTTTTTTTCTTATCTTGTTTTTCACGTTGGAAAAGTCATATTTCTGTAAGATGTTTCAAATTTGTATGTCTGTAACATGTTAAAATGTCCAACTGTTTAAAATTCTCACACTATCTGAACATTAAAACTGAAATACCATTCACATAAACATCATCCTTTTTCTCTTATATGCTAGATTTCTGGTTCCACTTTCAAAACAAATCTCAAACCTAATGCCTCATAATGAGATGTTTTACATCACACAAATCCAGGAATGTCATAATCTTCTTTTCACTGCTCTGTCACATTATGCTGAAATTTAAAAAGACTATATTTTAAAAAATAAACAACAAACTAGACTTTCAAAACAGATATGACACCTAAATATTTTAACGCTTTTTATCTGTGTGCAAAAAGTAGCATACTTGTGTAAACTTCTTTTAGTTTATATTTTATTGGCAGACAAGACAAAGCTGCTGTGTGGGTGTATTTCTATAGTAAAAAATTCCCTGCGATCAAACACAACAGCTTTACGCCCCAAGACCGAATAGTGGACACAGATAGATTGCAGCCAAATGTGTTCCAACAATCAAATTAAGAACTTTCAGTGAAGTTCATTACTTTTACCCACCTTGGACAATCTTTTTTTTTAAAGTACGACATTTGGCCAGTGGCAACAAAACGGTTCCATTACATGTGGCCTGAAATGTGCTCATGGCCAGCTGGGCGATTGGGCTATTGCTTCTCACTGCGTTCTATCATCACTAAAAATTATTGACTAGTCAAAAAATGGAATCAATCTATAATTAGTCATTTAATCACTAGTACTAGAGGAAACCACCATCCCCTACACACCCCAATGGATAGACTGTAATTTGTCTTCTGTGAATTTGAGGTATCGGTAATCAATCTATAATTCGTCATTTAATCACTGGTACTAATGGAAATCACCATCCTCTACGCACCACAATGGATAGACTATAATTTGTCTACTGTGAATTTGAGGTACCGGTACATAATAAACACATGTCTTGTGTACATTTTAGAAAGTTCTGCATTAAAATCGTATGTTCAAATTATTGGAGTATTCTCAAAATGTGTCTATGGTCATTCAGCTGAGAAAGAAAAAGCAAGATCCTGTGTCCACAGCACATATAAACAATCTCTAGGCAATTGGAATTCACATGCTGTCAGTAGGGTTAGGGTTATTCGGCAGTTTCTATGATGTTAATCTTTATGGACAGTGTTAATCGTAACCACCTCTATACTATATTTATGAATATATATTAACCCTAACAGTTTACCTCTTACATCAGATGATAACTTTTGTCATTCGGGCATTCACAATGTGAAACAAGGGCCATAACTCCAGAAGTCAATAACAGAAATTGATGCAATTTGACAGTGTTGTCCATTTTAATAATTCAAATTAAAAGTGAAACAAGGGCGAGAAGATATTAACCAAAATTATTGAAATTCCATAAGCTTCTTTGTTTCACTAATCTAAATAATGCATAGAAAATTGACACAGATTGGATGATAACAAGGGTCAAGGGCCATAATCTATATAAATATCAAACAGTCAAATGATCATTTTTGTCGTTTGAGCATTCACAGGGTTCCACAAAGTGAAACAAGAATCATAACTCTAGAAGTAGTTAACGGAAATTCATGAATAGGCTTCTTTGTCTCACAATGTACATAAATTTTAAAAAGATCAGATGATATAATATGTAGTCTGTTAAAGTTAGAGTGTTTACAAGAAATTGCGGAAAACGGACAGACCAATGGCAATACACAACTTCATTTCCATGTGGGTTATTTTGTTCCAAATTCATAAAAAAAACCTCCAAAAATCAGTTTTGTCTTAAACATATAATTGGATCTATAAAACACCATAGGAGACAATCCAGACATATTGCTTGAGTTCGTAACAACGCCTTGATCATCATTCACGGCCATTTAACCCAGAACGTGGCTGTAGAAATTCAAATAAATTCAAATTCTAACCAATCCTATACAACTTTTAACCAAATGCATCAAACTGACAGGGAAGTTGCAATATTGATAATCAGATGCTTGCATGGCAAACAACTTGTGATTGGCACTTTGTTCAGATGGGTGGTCGAGTGATCTAAGCATGTGCTTTATTTCATAAGGTCTGTCATTGAATCAATTGGCATATTTTCAATTTCAAGCTAAAGACCACTATAACAAATGAATTATTAAAATAAAATTGTACCATGTGTTAGTCTTCAAATGACCTAGTTTGTGTCGATTGGATGTTAAACCCGATTTCTCTCTTTCTCTGTCTGTATTGTATGCCTGAGTCGAACAGAGTGCATGAGTCTCTGTGCAAATAATGTGTAAAGTTTTGTTTCAATAATCAGCATTTTGATTTTTTTCCCATTTCATTCATGCAATTTCGTAATTAGAACACATTGTTGTAAGATGCATCATTAATAAAGGTCAGAGCTGGCCATAATGAAGCATATTGATTGACAAGAATTTTTAGTTCCACTCGACTGATTTCTTGAAAAGAACACAACAGATATAAATCAATCATCAATTAAACTATTTCCATCATATACATTAACTATTGAATAACCAGCAGTCTTTGCACTCCACATTTACAGCATAAAAAAAACCTTGGCAACAGATGCACAAATAACTTACTTATATAGTGTTTATCATAATTCTATTTCTCATGACAGATATTCTAATAACTATGTAATTATTGCCTAATGTAACATAGTACGCAAAAAACAAAATAAACTGTTACATGGTTGTTGTCCATTAACAAGACAATATGGGGTAGTAATTTCCATGGTAAACAGGAAATGTGTTATTTTGAATGGCAATAGGTACTGAGCTATTTGTGAGGAGAGAAATGACGTTTAAGGTCCACTTGACACGACTAGGTCATTTTGGGACAAACACATGATCAATCTTATTTCAATAACTTGCTTGCGCATAGGGATCTTTAGCAGTGGGAGGAGCATATGTAGGAACCAAGTAAAACCCATGTGGTCACCCAGGGGACCATACTCCTTGTGACGTACAAGCTGGCAATCGAAACCATCCCATAGAATCAATGACCTTTTGATCAATAATGCACAAGTTAGAGATAGACCATTTGGTCACCCATTGGGCTGATAAGTTCTAATCCTATCTGTGAAAGACCTGTACAAAGTTGATGGTTTCCATTTACTTTTATACACAGTCCCCTTCCAGGTTTTGTACACTTTTGTTCACAGGTGAACGTTATCAGGATCTGCTTCAAAACGACACAGGTTGTCACAGGACATCAGGAATCTAACACGTTTCTGATCTGCAGTCAAGAGCTTTAGCATCCATCTTGTAGAAACTTTTGTCATTCCTAATTCATTGGCGATAATGTGATCAACCCTCTCATGAGAGATGCCAACAATATGCTGCCAATTAATATATGTCGAGTAGTCAATCATCGATCAGCCATCACCATATCATGCACCCGTGTAATGTTTTCTTGATAGGTTGCTTGATTGATGGCCTTCCAGGATGCGGGTCATAGTGAAGGCTCTCTCTGCCATGCTTAAATTCTGCAGCCCATTTCTTAACTGTGGAAAAGGAAGGGGCATCATGCCCTGAAGTTGGAGACCATGTTGGCAGTTGCAGTTACTCTTGATTACTGCCCTATAGCCAGTTTTGTCCATTTCTGGTGATTTAATTGGGTAGGTTCACAACATGGTCTGGTATGAAGACAATAATAACACTACAGTTGTAGTTCTTATGTATATGATTTATTCATTGATTGTACTTTTTGGTGGCAAAAGTTTGTTTCAACCCACTTGATCTATCCTTTTCAGGCTTAGTACTTTTCAGCCTGCCCTCATAGGTAATAGTGGCATCAATACCATAGTAAAGATACATTAAAAATGCACCACTGGCACTGATTTGACTGATGAGTGCTGATGAGATATAATGCAGCAGAAATGTGATTTCAGGCATGACTGTAGGCACAAGGAAATAGAAGACAATAGCACTTAAAAATCAAAATTCAGTAATGCACCTCTAGCAGCCACGAGCAGTTTACATGATCGCGAAAACATCATTCTAAGATGTTATCAGAATTATAAGATCAAAGTATCATTTAATAAAGTGCTGTATGTACTAAAGTTAAAGGGCCAATCTTGATTATATTTTGGAAAATAAAACTGCTTAATTTTGTGTGAAAAGTCCTTAAAAACCTCTTCGATAGGTCCGAGCAACTAACTCAATAAACATGATACGTTTTGAAACAACATAAACAAGTTAAACCTGTCAGTCTTCATCTGGAAATGCTTAAATCTCACACGTACACAGGCTTTTATTTCTGAGACTCTGTTAAAATCGGGATGCCAATTGCGATAAAAATATAATTTTGGCGATAAAATATGCAATCTGGCGAAATTTTTGGCGATAATCGTTTCACGCAATAAATTTTTCTTGCCACAAAGCTTTCATTTCCACGCCGTGCATATATACACATTACAGTCTATTATGCGCTTGGCTGAGTCAGTTATCAATTAATTAGGTGCAATAATAGAGATATCTTTTGTCTCTTGATCAATCTCGGATTAGCGTTGATTAGTATTTACAGTAAGAGTAGTAATAAACTAATTAAGAGACAAAAGATTCAAATACGAATCGGTGACTTTTTTGACGGTTTCTATATATTCAAAATGGCGGACACTGTGAATAATACTTGTTTGATTTGTTTGGTATTATTGAATTATAACGTCTGTTTTATCTTTTTCTTACTGCTGTAGCCAGAATATATAATTGCGTATATATTCTTTGGGTTGTCGAAAGTCAGTTATCATCAAATCACATGCCATTGGTTGTAAAAGAAAAATAGAACAGCCTTCGTTAACGTCCGATAGAAGTATGTCAGATTATTTTAGTATATCACCACCAAAATACTCCAAGTCTACAGGTGATACTGACATGATCAGCTCTCGTCCATCTAATATTATTACATCCTTGACTGTTGAAGCGATATCAACTTCTACAATAGGTCTGCATTAGGCTACCTCAAATTTCGAAAAAGAAAAATCTTAAAGAGGCATTATGGGAGATTAGATAAAGAACTGGCAGTTCTCACTATGATAGTTAAAAATAGATAACGTGAATAGAATATGCTGGAACTTTCAGTGAAATTGCTGCACTCTGAACCACGATATTAGCGTTTGAATTTTAGGCCTAGCCTCGATCATTATTACTAAAGTCGGTACAATAACAAAACATAGTCTCAATTATCCATTTTTGTTTAAGCGCATACTGAAAAGTTA